CGTATTATTAGTAGAAAAAAAAAAAACAATCTTCGATGAAAAAGAAAAATCATTTGAAAATTTAAATATTATTTACTTTATTCCTTTGTCCTATTGCTCCAGTACCAGTATAAATTCTACTAATATGATCACCATTATTAATCCACATATTTCTTAAGTGATCGATTAAATGATTCATATTAACTTGTTTCTTTAAACTAGCTATTTGCATTGTTAATACAACCATTCCAAGAGTTAATTGTACATTATTTGTTCTATCAAGACAATCAATACAATTAATACGAAAAACACCTTGTTGAAAACTCGAAGTTGTTTCATCCATATAAGTAAATATACTTTGACGTTCAAGTTCTTGTCCAATTGAATATTGTTTATTTTGTATAAGTATTTTATCAACAAATTGTTCTGGTGTTAAACCTTTTGTAGCACGTGCTTGTTCATGATAATCAAACCAAATAAAATCTTTTTCATTTAAATAACCAAGTAATGGTTTTTCTTTTTTTTGTTTTGTTCGATATGTTTTAACAAGTAATTCAAATAAATTCTGATATTCTTCACCAATACGTTTTTCATCTTCACGTTGATCAACTAAATTTATAATTAATATACGACCATAATGACGATAAAGATATTTAAAATGTCTATTAAATGAAATATTTATTTGTTTGGTTTTTTTTTTTATTTTATTAAATTTATTCATTTAACTTACTCGAAAAATGCTTTAAAACTAAGTGCTTCACTACGTGATACTGTAATACGATGAGCGCCTACCTATATAGAAATTTAAAAAGAAAAAAGAAAAATTAAATATCGAAAATTTTTCAAATATTTATACTTGAAAACGTGATTGATGCCAAAATAATGGAATTGAACCACGTACAATAACAAATGATGAATAATGATTTTGTCGAGGAAGAAAAACAATCTGTCAAAGATATAGAAAATCAATATTTTGAGTTATATGATCTAATTTAATTTATTTTTAAAAAAAAAAAGCATTATTTAAATTAGACATGCTATGTTAATGAATTATATCTAAACTAAGACTAAGTAAATCTAATTATAGAGCACTTCGAAAGGATAAAAGACCCAATTAGTAATCAAAGAAAGTCATACTCTTCAATTTCCTAACTACCGCAAGTTAAAGAATAAGAAGAAAGAGAATAAAAAGCATTTCAACACATTCATCAATTGATATAATATATCATTCAAGTATTTATAAGTTAACATTCCCAGGATCGAAGCTTATACTTACATACTTCATCCAGAATATCGAATTAACATTCAACAAACTCAAAAAGAAATTAATTATAAATTTATCCGAAGTCTTAACATAATTAGAAGAATTCAGATTCTTATTTCTTATAATTCAGTCTATTGTAATATAAGAAAAATTCATTTCGATTCATATACTTTCGTCAAACTAATTAAATAGCTTATTTATTCTAACAATATCGATTTGAATTTTGTTACATTAGTCTAATAATGATTAGTGTATCGTTTTCAAATATTTATTTATATCTCACTTGTTCTGTTTCAACAAAATTTGCCACAGCTCCGTCATCATTAACACCACGAACATTAAATCTTGTACCAGCTCGCTCACAACTTAATCTAAATCATAAATAAAAAACAAAACAAAAAGAGAATCTATTTTTGAAATAAATATTTAATCTACCTTGATATTAACCATAATTCAATATCTTCATTTGAATTTCTATATGTTTCAATTCCACCACACATTATTTTTGGTATCCAATAACGAACATCAATATTAAATTTAAGTAAAGGTAAACATAAACCACGATTCCTAAGAGAGAAAAAAAAACAAAACATTTTCTATTTGTTATTTTGCTTAACGGAGAGGAGCACATAAGAGGCTAAGTCAGTCCACTAGAAAATTTTCTTGGTCAATTCCATTGAATTATATATTAACAGAAAGAGCATGTTGGAATTAACATTGTAGTACTAGTTTATTAGATTTTTATCAAATTTTGAAACCTAAAATCTATCATCAAAGTAACGCATTTGTTGTTATTATTCTAATAATTTATCATATCGCGATGAATTCAGTTTGAGAATAAGTAGAGAAGATAAAATACTACTGCAATTATGAACTTCATAGTTCTTTGATGAAGGGTTCAATGCCATAGATAAATCATCAATTGTTTAAATTAACAAGATATAGATTCGATGTACTGATTGACATTATTAGCATCATCCATTCTTATCGTTCAACATATATTTTAGTTTAAAAGTTGAAGTGATTAAAATTCTTCTATTGTTCATTTGATAGTCCTTTTAAAAAGCCACAAAGCGTGTCTTTTCGATCAATATTTAGAAGATTTTAATCAGAAAAAGTTCAATTTGAGGTAAAACCAATATGATATCCAGAATCAGCATAAGAAACTGAGTTGATCTATGTTAAATTTAAAGGATTTTTCTAATTTTTTTTTCATAGAAAAATTTATTCCTAGTTCCCCTCAGAGATCCAACGAAGCATAAGTTACATCAAGATAGTATTTAGACATTGAAACAAGACTTAAAAATATGTTTAAAGTCATAAGAGGACAAAATGGCAGACATCTAGAAAATAAAATCAAAGTTTTTAAAGATTTCATTTTTCGGCTGACCTCGGACGGTGACTAGAGGTAAATTTTTCGACGAAAAAGTTACAGAAATTCTTTAAATTGTACATAGACTAATTCAATTTGTTATGTTATTTCTGAATATCATATTAATTTTTACTAAAATTGGATTTTGCCTGATTGAAAAGAGACAAAATTGAATCTGAAGAATAACGTGTTAAGGAATTTTTCAAGTGGCTAAGTTTTTTTTTTTACTTTGAAAAATATATTATTTTTGTAACCTTTCATAAAGGGGTTATCAAATGAGAAATACGAGGATTTTAATCACTTCAACTTTTAAACTAAAATAAATGTTGAAAGATAAGAGTAGATGATGCTAATAGTGTCTATCAGTACATCAAATCTATATCTTGTTAATTTAAACAATCAATTATTGATTTATCTATGGGATCGAATCCTTCATCAAAGAGGTATGAAATTCATAATTGCAGTAGTATTTTATCTTGTCTATTTGTGCTCAAATTGAATTCACCGTAATATAATAAATTATTAGAATGATGACAACAAATACGTGACTTTGTTGTATATATAATTCAATGGAGTTGGCGAAGAAAAATACTAGTGGACCGATTTGACCTCTTATGCACCCCTCTCCTTCATTCCAGTAGAAACAAACCAAAAAAATCGAATATCTGAATCATGTTCTTGAATCATTCTTTGAGCACATAATGTTATATCATATGGTTTATTAAAATAACGTTTATTATTATTCAATTCTGGATTGAAAAATGTTGCATAATAAAAAGAACGTCCTTGAAATAATTTTCTAAATATTCAAAAACAAAAATGAAATCATCAATTAATTGAAATGAAATTTTTTCTTTTTGTTTTACTTTATTCCAGAAATAAAAATTTCATCTTCTGGATTATCTCGCATAGAAATAGTTGCTACTTGTGAAATACCTTTAAAGAAAAGAAAAACATAATAGAAACACAAAAAAGATTCTTTCTTAAGGTTTTTTTTTTATCTTCATACGAAAAATATACGCATCAAATAATTGTCCAATAAATACTTCTTCAGTTACAAATAACATAAATGGTCGAATAATACCAGCAGCTATAATAAATTAATATGTTTCGCTTTTTTTGAAAAAGAAAATAATTGAGAATTTTAATACGAACTATTTGCAGTAATACTGTTTGCTGAACTGTTCAATACCACAACACCAAGAAAAGCTTTTGCACGAAGAAGTAATGTTGGTGGATTATCTGATGAATCATTCAAACCTTTCAAAATAAATTGATTAATTACATTTTTCTTCGAGATGAATTGTTTGTAGGAAAAAAAAAGTGAAGTAATGATACCCAACGGCAAAATCTTATTTGACGTTAAAGGAATCATTGAAATAGCAAGACAATCTTTTTTGTTTATCGTCAGAATGAAATCATTTGTCGATTAAAGGATTTCAGAAATCGAATAACATTTATCATCTTTTTAGTTATTAAAGCGTTGATATATGGCTTGAGTTTTTTTGCAAATATGACCTCTTCACCTGAAGATTACTTCGTTCCTTATGTTATTAATATAAGAAAATATCTCTGCTCTTGTGTTCTATTGAAACATATCATAAATTATTATCGACTTAAAAAAAAACTGTTTTTCTTTTCAAGACAACACTCCTATTCAAATTGACTCTTCGTTTGAACTTCTCACCTGATTGTTGTTCAATACTAGAATATTTTGCTGATGTTGATGAAAGAGGCGCTGTATCAGGTGATAAATTCATATTACTCAACTGACTTATAGTAAATGGAAGTGTATATGAATTCGCACTGTTTTTTTGTTGTTGTGCTTGATATCGAAAATAAAGTACATCTGAACGACTTGGTGATGATGACGAAGCTTGTTGTTGAAGTTGAATATAAAATGAACCATTTGTTTGTTGTGGAGCTGGTGTTTGAGATACGTCTGAAGGATTTAATGGTAGAATAGGTTCAGCTTTTCGATATAAAGCTACACTCCAATTTGCAACTGGAGCTGCTGGTGGAATATTTGTTCGAGTTGGTTCAGCTGGAGCTGCTTTAGGAAACATTTTGACTTGTCTTTTGAAGGAAAGAAAAAGACTTGATAATTTCAGAGGAGGAAAAAAAAAACAGAATTCGATATTGATTTGTTATATTTATAACCAATTAGAAAATTCAAATAAATAATTAAATAAAAAATTTTCTAGAAATTAAAATAAAATTTAAAATAATAACTTTAAGATTTATTTTTACATAACTATAATAGAAATTCTCAAATTTAATATAATTGATGTCACTGTATTCGTTATTTGTAAAGTATTATCATCCATTAAATTCATCATTTTTCTATCCTTGTGATTCCTAGGTCTATATTCGTAATAATATATCATGTCGAATACAATTACTGAGAGTCAATCGTCTAACAATCAAAATACATCATCAACAGAAAATTCAAAACAACAATTAAATTCTAATGATGATTATACACAAAGACAAATACAAAGTGCATTTCAACCATCAACTGTAACTTTTTTGTTTTTTTTTTATTTATTTTTTTCATCAATAATTTTTTTATTAATTAGAATGTTGAACAAGTAACTGATCAACTTCAAACATTAAATGTAACACCAAAAGTAACTATGCGAGTAAGTTAAGCCGAAAAAAAAAGTAAAAATTTAATATAGAACTTTTTTTTGTTTATTGTTGTTTTTTTTTTAGTCTGATGCTCCACCATTTACACCAGCATCGGAAGCAACAAAAACAACAACAACAACAACAACAACAACAACAGATGATTCAGAAATAAAAGTCAAAACAGAATTTATTTATGATTTAAATAAATATAAATATGATTATTTCTTATCTGATCTTTCATGTAATTTTGATCGTGACAATGGTAAATTTGGTGCACCAACTGGCATATGTGCTTTACCTGATGATCGTTTATTAGTTGCAAATTTTGATCGTGATTCTGTTTTACTTATTGATATTAAAGGTGTTGTTCATCAAATATTTAAAGATTTACCAACGCCAAAAGCTGTTATTTATAATTCATCAGCATCATCACCACAAGCTGTTGTTGCAACAAGAAAAGAAGCAGCTATTTTAGATTTAACTACAAATAAAGTTATTACAAGAAGTAAAATTCGAGGATTTTATCCATGGAATATTCAATATGTTGAAGAACGACAGGTTTATGCAGGTATACAAAAAATAAATATTTATATTAGAGAATAAATATTATATGTATTAATAATAGAAATAATCAAGATTAGTTTTATGAGGGTTCTTGTATACCATCCGATCATCTAAAGAAAGCATGAACAGTTACATCACATGAGATTGTATATAAATTAGAGATGTTAATGACTGGTTTTTTTTCTCCGACCCACGGACTACTTTCACGGATTGAAGAGTCATTAATCTGTCATGGGCTAATCCACAGATTAATAAAGATTTTATTAATAAAATATTTAAGTGCCAAATCATTATTTTTTTTTAACTGACTCATGCTTTTTTTTTTATTCTATGTGAAATGAAGATTTTTATAACTAGAATATTTTATTTCTGAAAATGCAAGGTGGCACAAATCAAGGGAACATGAAAATTTTTCGATTTCTTTTTTTTTTTGCACATAATTAGTTAGGCCTCATGTTTATGCCACATATATTAATAAAAAAATATAGCATATGCTAAGTCTTTGACTGCAGTAATTTGTTCTAAAAGTGGATAAAATAAATATTACTGCTCGTCTGTCTCTGTAAGAGAAATTCGATTTCTATAGTTTTATCTGCCTATCCCGATCTGTGATATGAATCTGATTTAATTACATTTTGTACTGATTTAGCCTAAAAGACGTCAAAATTAATTAAATCGGATTCATTGCACAGATCGAGATAAGCAGGCAAAACTATTATGGAAATTGAATTTCTCATACAATCATAGACCAGCAATAAGATTTATTTGCACGCGTTTAAATAAATTACTGCACACAAAGACTGGTTGTATGTTATATTTTTGACTAGTATATGTGACATAAATATGAGGCCTAACTGACCATGTACAATGACAGAATCGAAAAAATTCTGTGTTCCCTTACTTTTGGGCCACACTATGTTCATAAACATTAGAAAATGTCAATTAAAATTCGAGACAATAAATATTAAAATAAAATTAATAGTATATAATGTTAATATAACAGATATAGCTTCGACTAGGATAATAATGACGATAAATGTGCAACAAAAATCGAAAAATAACTAGATTACATATCATTCATTTTCCATGTTATATATTGGAGGAACTAATAACATATATTTAATAAACTCGGTTTTTCTACGGGTGTGAGTATGTAGTTCGGTATGTTTAAGAGAAGATCTTCACCCAAAGCGTATTTATATGTACATATACTTCAAAACAAGTAAGTGAATAACTAGAATGAGAAAATAAAAAGCAAAATTTGTAAGCAGGTTGAACGCGTCGGTACACGTAAAAAATAATCCGGCTTGTGAAACCCGTATAATCATGAATATACCTAGCCCGTGACTTGTCAACGTCTCTGATGCAAATCTAGACATTTTGCCGAATATGCGATCACCCCAAAAAAGTCCGACAAGCTCGTCTACTAACTACTTGGACTACAAAATAATAGGAATCCAAAAATGACCATGTATCTAATTTGTAATAGATCAGCACATGATTTGATATGTTTTTTTTTCGTTAATCATCATTAGTTTATCGAGAGCCTAATCTATTAAAAGATATTAAATTAGAAAAAAAAGGTTTTATAGCCGTAAGAATATTTTTAAAAACAAAAAAGAAATTTTAAGACCTCTTTTCGAAGAAAGAAATCGACTAATTTCAACGTTTGAGAAAATATTTTTCGATTTAGCGGAAATTTTTAGAATATTAATAGGATTATAATCATGATAGTTGCAAAAGAAACATCCATGAGTTTAAATTTTTTTTTTAGAGTTCTTTAGTTATATAAAAAACTACTTTAATTGAAACTTTCATCAGAAGTGGTCCTTATAGAAATGGAAGCATGAGATCTGATTTCTCTTTTCTGTTCACAATAGTCATACGTGAAACGCTCTCTACTTTTGAAGTTTGTCTTCAATGCCAATGGAAATATAAAGACTATTTATAGTGTATTGTCTTTTCATTCTTTGAATGCCAATTTACGTCCCTACATCTTATACTAGTACTTAACAAACAATTAGATCGACTTCCTTTGTTGAACACAATGATTTTATAATTAATAATAGTTTATCTTAACGATTGAATTAGTCATAGTTTCGATTGAAGTTTTCTTTTTAAAAAAAAAGACCATTCTTTTCTTTTAATACTTATTGTCTTATCATTTTCGATTTTATTGTACTAATGTTTGTATTTTATTTAATTGCAATTCTTCAAAAATTTTTAAATATTCTTTATCTGTAGAGAAACAAATATTTGTTTTTTTAAATGTAATATTCTTTTATTTTAGCTTGTGATCCATCCGGTGAACGTATTGTCTTCCTTGATAATAATCTTGCTGAAATAGGTGTATGGTCATTTCATGATTCAACTCAAGATCATTTACTTCAAAATCAACCACAACTTTATCAAAAAGTTTATCCATATGCTGCATATTTCTTACCAAATGATACATCATATGTTTTAACTCATCGTCAAGATAAATGTAATCTTGATGAATATGATAATACAAGTGCAGCAAAAAAATCAGCATATAATATTCCTCAATCATTACAATCATATTCAATTTATGTTGATGATGCAAAAAAATGTTTAATACCTGATAAATTAAATCATCGTTTGGTTTCAATTGATAAAGATTCGAAAATTGAAGAATATAAATGTAAATCAATGCAAGAACCATATTCACTAACATTTTTATCGAATGGTACATTATGTGTTACTGATTGGAATAAATCACATGGAACTAGTGGTGGAATTTCAATTATTAGTGAAGTTAATTTAAAAGAAAAACAGTAAAAACGAGTGGACAATTTTTAAAACGATGACATCTGTTCGGTTTTTTTTTCTTGTCTTTGTCGTGCACCTTTTTTTTTTTTTTCTTCTATTTCTTCCTCTTCATCTATTCATAGTATGTAGCTATTTGATTATTTTAAGAAAAAACGAAAAAAAAAATCTTCTTCATATAAAATCTGATGGTCAATAGAAAACTTGCGTTGATGTGACGATAAATGTTTTTTTTATCCATCTATTCACGTCTTTAGTCAGTTTTCTTCTCGGTTCATATTCTTATTATTATTGTTGTTGTTCTAGTTGTTGTTATTTTTTTTTGTTATCTATGTCTTTTTTGGATTTCTATCATCAACGGAAAAAAAGAAATAAACTAAAAAAGAAATTATTATTATCATTAGTATGTCTTTGATTTTTGTTGAATGCTGAGATTGGTAAAGTTGATACATATGGATTAGGTTTATGCCGTTACTACATTAGTCTGGTGTCCTGAAGGACTAATGGCCAGTCAGACAAATCACCTGTAGGATTGGTAGTTAGCTAGATCGGTACTCAGTCGAGTGAATATCCATTTGATTCGATGCCCAGTCGAACTAGGACTAGTGCATACCTACTAAGGATACATAATAACATATTAAACAAGGCTTTTTGTCTTGTCAATCGTGATATGATTCCAGATGGCTTAGAGTTTCGAAAAAGTTTTTGTTGGTAGTCTCATACTAATATTAATAATAACGATTTCTTTTAGTCAACTAGTTTAATTTGTTAGCTATTTAATCTAGAAAAACACTTCGCATATGTAAAGGGTATTGCAGATGCCGCCTGAAAGACAAAATAAACGTAAGTATCTGTTTCACAATTCAAACAATTTACATAAACTTTTTATAATTTTATTGAACGTTCAGTGAAATTCTGTTTTGTATAATTTTATTTTCAGTCACTACTCAAAATGAACTTTATGCAACTGAAAAACGACAATACAATATTTATACATATTTGAAAAATAAGGCATTGCATAGTGTTATCTTTGAAATTATTTTTTTTTTCTTTGTTGCTTCTAATTATCAACAGAATTTAATCGTAAGTAAGCGACTTGCAAACATTATGTTTCATATATTTCCATAGAACAAAACCGACTTACGCTAATTTCAATCAACGAAGAATATATTAAATCGAACTACTACCTTGAATACACATGTTGAAAAAAAATATTTTTGAGAAGGTGTTGTAGTATACTCTTGATATACAAAGACGTCTCGTTTAGTTATAATATTTTTTGCATTCTGTATTAATTCAGTATATTTTTGCAATAGCCCAAATACATGATAGAAAGAAGAATCAGCGAACTTTAAAATTGAAATATTTGCTTGTGCTTCCTTGACTTGACGTTCAGGCACTTTTTATTACAAACAACATGAACTTCATTGATATATTTTTTATTTATTTATTATTATTGTGGAACTTCCATAACATGATAGATTTAATACAATCTTTATGGTATTATTTTTTTATAAAATTCAATTTACCATTTTCGTCTGACAATCATAAGTAATTCAACTTTGACCGTCTATAAAAGTATTTTGATTGTAATATTAATAAGCATAGACATTTTAACTGAAATATGCTGAATAAAACTTTAATATGAGAAGATCAGATCAAATGATTTTTAAAAAAAAAACCATATAAATCTTTTGTTTTATTCAATAGATTTTTCATGATTTTTGTTATCGTTTGCATTTCTGTAACATTCTATACCATCAATTTATTCACTGTAAGTTGTCAATTTTAGAAATTGTTCTAAAGAAAAGTTCATTGATCTTTCCTATTTATATATATTAAATTGTATTTCATAGTAGAATAAACATTTTCAACAATAGATAATCTTGTTAATATATTGATGTCAATTCTATTTTGAAAATTAATATGTAACTCATATGCTAATTATAAAATGATGATACTAAAGATCAATTAATCCAAAAGAAAAGAAACAACTAGAAAATCTTTGTATAAATTTTATTTTCACTTTTAATCTTTAAATATAAAAAGATAAAATCAAAATATGCTTACGAAAATCTATTCTAAACAGTTCAAATTTTCTATTGTGAAATATAAATGATATTTATGATAAAAATGTTATAGAATAAAACTTCTGAATACTGACACACACACACACACACATGCTTCAAAATTAGTATACTGTTCTTATTATAAGTCCAGCAATCATGTATTTAATGTGAACAGAAGGTTGTTAAGAAAGCCATATCATCTGAAAATAATTATCAAAAACAAAAAAAAAATTAATTTAAATAATAAATAAGTAAATATATCCTACTTTTGTCAAGACCAAGACATGTACCCCATTCATCAGATGAAATTTTATTATCCTTATCCGCATCGCACTGATCCAAAAATGGTTGAATACAATGTTCAAGAACTTTAAGTGATCGAATAAAACGAGCTAATTCTTCATTATTTACCGAGCTTTAAATAATCAAAATAAAAAAAAAAATAGGAGTTATATTTTTCTTACAAATCTAATCTTGCTCCTTACTTATCATGTGTTTTATCAAGTTCACAAAATTCCCAAAGTACAGCATTACGCCACCATTTTTCTGTATTTGATAATTTCATTTTACGTGCTTCATTAACTAATGTTTCATATTTAGAATCAAGATCTTTACGAATAAACTAAAAGAAAATCAATAAAATAAATAAATATTATTATTAGTTCAAACAAACCAATGTATCAAGAATTGCACCAAGCCATTCTTTCATTCGTTTAGGAAAAACTTCTAATTCAAATTCCGTACAAACACCAAGCTCTAATGAAAATTTACTCACAAAAAAAATATATAAATAAAAAAAAACCTTTTTATTTTTTTACCTTGACATTGTCCAAAATAATCAATCATATCTGTTACAGCATCTTTTCGTGTACAATGTTCATCATTTTTTCGACACCAACATTGCATTCGATAAAATTCACAATCAGATGTATATGTATGATTAGCTTTTGTACATATCTGTGCATTTTAATTAAATAAAATTATTCATAAATATTTTGAAATAAATATATTTCTACTTAACCATTAAACGTTTATCTTTAGGATCTTCACATTCTGTAATACAAGCACATTCAGCTTCACCATTTTTATTTAAAATACATACTTCATTTTCATTACATTTTACATTTGAACATTGATCTATATATACAAATAAATCAATTAAATACAATCAAAAAAGAATTACAGATAAATATGTTTTGAAAATTCTTAATTAGTTTATTACCTTTAATGTTTAATGTTTCATCTTTTGTATCAACTTCAACCTCCAATGCTGCCTAAAAGAAACCAATACAATGTTACACTTTGAGTAAATCGATAGAATATTTTTTAACATATCAATTTTCCAATATTTCATTCTTAAGATATGAAACTATATATTCATTCCTATATATTCGAAGACGTATCATATTCTCATAATAATTTTCCATAGTTTTTTTTTTTTGTATATAATTAAAGATTGAATAGAAAATAAATCTTTCAAAAGAATGTATTGTAAATAAAAACCATCCGAAGTAAATTAATTAAAAAAATCTTAATTTTCTATGAAGACATATGACAAGAATTTCATTCATTGAAGATTTTCATCAAGACTTAACAACAGATTATATATATTTATTTAACATTTTAGTTCTGAAAAGTAGATCGATATGGTTTTTTTTAACAGACATAATCGAATACTTTATGTTTTCCTAATATAGCCGAGTTTGTGTGTATCTATTTATATGCTATTAGTATACACTAAATGTTGTTTTAGTCGAGGACCGCAACATTTATCATTTTCTGGTAACATATTAGAAAAACAGACCAATGATAATAATATTTACGTATGCCCAAATTAAATAGTGACGCCTACATATAAACAGAATATTTCATATATTTACGTCCAAAACATACGAACATGAAAATTTCCTTCATGAGTAAATGTGTTTGTATAGTATCGAATGAAAACAAGTTGAAGATAGATAATATTGTTTTCGTTTTAATTATTTACTTACGTGAATGGTCAATAATTGATAACATGAAAGAAAAGTAACTAGAAAAACGATATATACTTTCGATGCCATATGGATATGTATTATACGATTGAATACTAATGTGTAAGATTTTGCTATACGTATGTATATTATTGTTGTATAAGAAAGAATGATAGGGAAGAAACAACTATGTCCCAAAGATTTATTTTCTTCATTCTTTTTTCTTATCTATTTCTCGTTATTAGCACGAGTAGGAGTTTGAAAAAAAGGATAAATAATTTGATTGGAACTCTGTCATTAATGATATGTTTTCTTCTCTTCGCTCTTATTGTAGTACGAGCTAAGCTTTCTCATAAGTTATCTGTATATATTTGTATATATAAAAGTTAATAACATGGAATTAAGGCTGACGAGCAGACAGTCGAAAAAATCAGTTATATGGTAATATACATATGTGTCTATTTTTGTACCATTTTCTGTGTCATGATTTTTGTTTACTAACAACTGATATGGTAACCAATTTGCTTAATTTAGACAAGCTTGGACAATTCTTGAGAGAATATTTCTAGTCTTGCAAAAGAAGTTATTAGTAGATATGCATAATAATTTTACACAAGAATTATTCATAACTTACTGCAAGACGTCTAAACGATCTATGAATCATGTATTAAGATATTTGATATGATCATAAACTAAATGACACTTAAATATGTAACATTCGAAGAAAATTAAGAAACTAGATCGACATTGTTTCAAAGATATTTAATTTTATTTGTTGATTTCATACTTCTTCATCAAAACATTACATGAAAATTAGTCTGAGATCGAAGATTAACATTTGAAGAAGCTAACGAAGAAAAATAAGTAATTGTCGGATCTTGTTCGACATTATATTATGATTACGAGTAGATCCATGTAAGACTAAAAAAAACGTCTACAAAGGATTCGTATTCATGGCCTACGTGTGAAG